TTTTTTTTTTTTTTTTTTTTTTTTTTTTTTTTTGTCTATATTAATGCTTACTTCGGTCACGTTTTAGAAAATATATGAAAGAGTTGTTAAAATGCATGAAGACTACTTGCAAAAACGATTTTGTTTGGGATTCAGTTAAGATCCTTGATCATGCCAGTGTACCTATTCTTGCATTAACGACAAAGAACGAATTGAAAGTGGAAATACAGTTAAATTCTGAACAGGCTCTGAGGAGTACACTGTTTTTGCGAAATGTTGTGATGGTTTGTTAAATATTTGTATTCTTAAAACCTCAACAGAAGTGACCTGAGTGTTGAATGAAAGCCGTCTCACAATTCATATGAAACTTGATGCTTGTGGATCAAATGAACGTTTACTTACTATATAATACTTATCTCTTCTATTTCAGAAGGATCCTCGCGTTTCATTGCTAATTTTTTGGACAAAAGAATGGTTAAATGCCTTGAAGTTAAAAAACAGCAAACAAGGATTATTTTCAAGCTATCATGCAGCGATACTCGTGACACATTTCTTACTGGTATTTCTAAATTTTTGAAGTCATGGATTACCTCATCTTTAATTCTCTTATTATTCCTCTGTACGATCTCTGGACGCTTAGCGTTTTAGCACATTATTTCTGATAATACACAGTGCCATATTTCTGGATGAAGAAGTTCGTAGTTAGAAGTGGCTTCTAGCAGCGTACCCTCGCTCAGTACTTGTTAAAATTTATTAAGTTTTTACAGTTCCTTCACGTGTGAAGCTTCCGCTTTTAAAGAATAAATTACTTTAGTTAAAAATCTGTTTCAGCTTTTTGTGAAGTAAGATTAGTGTTTTCTTTTTCTATTACCATAACAGTAGACTTGCTCAGGATCGTATCATTTCTTTTTCCGAAGAAGATTTACTATGTGATGCCTGTCCAGATACCTCTCTTAATCGAGTCATCGATCGTTTGGGCTCCGAAGAACCGGTGCATATTTTTAACTTTTTTTAAAAGGTGCATTGCTCCAAAACATCTGTACTCAGCTTTTGATGTTTTCTTCATATTTTTGAGTTCTTTTGTTTTTTCAAATGCATTTTTTTTACTGTTCAGTTTTCTGTTTTTACTTGAACCGCAGAGTTTCTTTGTCAGATAAATTACCATTGCAAACGAGGGCTGATGCACACAAAAGTTGAATGTAGTCTTTCCACTGTAATTTTACTTTGCGGTCTTTCTTTTGATTTTCCGATTAATAGTCTTTGTTCTTATCCTGTTTTCGTATAGGTTTTGCCCCAGCTTCGTTTAAAACTACAGCCTAGTGTTACAGAACTCATGATTTATTTTATCGACTATTATTCAAGTTTGGACCTTCATGAAGTTGTTATTTCTGCAGCCAGTTCATCAGTAAGGAGGAGGTTAGTGTTACAGTTTATTCCTGTTTATTATTTTGGAACTGCTAGTGTTAAACGAGAAGCTAGTATTTTCGAAGAAGGTAACTCATTTATTTGATATGAGTATTTTTTCTTGTTCTGATCGTCTAGCTGACTAGCTAAATTGAATTATAAATAATACTTTTCTTCAGTTTGAAAAGAATCTTACGTTAAGCAAAATGTATGTTTTAAAGAAAATTAAATAAATAAATAAATAAAGCAATCCTAAATTTAGAGAAGAAGACGAAAGAGATGGACTGCTGTGGATTAAAGATCCGTTTTCTAAAACTACTAATTGTAAAGTTAGAAGAGGTGCAGATATATTCATGGAAGCTGTCAGTTATACAAAGAAAGCGCTGATTGCTGGAAAGGGACTAAGTTGGCCGATGGAGTTTTTATAGTCAAATCTGCTATTTAGAATTTCTATCCTGACAAATCTTTATGCCTTTTTACCGTTCCTTTTTTTAACGTGAGAGAAGGTCACTTTATTTTTTTAGCTTCTTTACTTTGAATATTGTGAGTTTTTTTTTTTTTGCATTGATTTTATGCAGTATTTGAAGTAACTGAATTCTTTCCACCACTAAGTTGGTTCTGTGGTATTTAGAGGTAGTTGATATGGCTCTCACTCATTGTCCCTAATACTTTGCTCATCTGTTTGGCTGGTTCAATTTATTAGGTTCCTTCCAACCCTACTGCTAACTCCCTTAATAAATCTGTTCTTGAAGATCACTAATGTTCTTGCCTTTGAAGGATTAAAATAAATTCTAAATCATGTTTTAGTTAGGTTTCGGATACCATTGTAAGATTGGTAGATAAAATGATTTGAAGAGTTCATCGTCTGAAAAGTAATGGAGAGCTTATTAAGGACCGTTAAACAAGATCTATTTCCGTGTACTAACCATTTCGTCGCACTTTTTTCTTATAATTCCTTCGTATTTTTGCCTCAAGCAATGTTGCCATTTACGCGAGTACGCCAATCGAGATGAAGGAGAGAACTTTTATTTATCAAGATGGAAAAGGGTAGTTGAGGGGAGCGGGAGGGCACGAAGCGGTCAGCATTTTCTGCGGCTACTTTTGCTAACCTCTGTTTCTTTTAAATTTGCTATTGATTTCGTAAAGGTTATGAAGATTTTATAAATTTCTCAAGGTAGGAAATTCGCTTTTGTCATATATGCAGATATATACTCGCGTTCATTTCTAATTCATATCCAAGAATACTGGCAGGAAAATGAACTTGTTCTATGACCGGCTCCAGCGAATCTGGCGCAGTGCCATTGCGATGTAAAGAGGTACCTTTATGTTAAGCCAGTGGACTCCGGAAAAGTATGCAAAACTTTTGTAGTACACGTGTGTACGAGGTGTAATGAAGAGCTTGTTTAAAATTATTTAACCTGTTTGTTTTCATGCTTTTTGACTTCCATTCTGCGGAGATTTTAGCAGAAATGTGAGAGAACTCATTTAGTTACTCCAAAACAGCTATCAATTTTCTTATGATAGGATTCTACGTAGTTAAGAGTTACAGAATGTGTGAAGAAAATATAGGGTCTGGACAACTA